AAAAATTTCGTACCTCTATTTTATTCTTATCGTGAGTTTTAGGGCGTCAGGGTTGTATGATACTAGACTTTAGGCGATTAAAATACGTATTAGTGACTTAGGGATTCAACATTTGGAATTGTAGTTTTTGTCGGTAAAAATGAAACTTATCGATATGTATCCGTTCAAAAGAGTTTAGTTCAATCATTATAGCTGTTCTCCAAGTAAATTCGTTTTAAGAACTCGTTAATGGAAATAATAATCACCGTGATTTTGTATAAAGTGTTCATTAGAAACCAATTCTTGCGTAATTTCCAAAGTGGCTTGCGTCCAAAGCAAAACAAAACCGCTTCTCTACGAAAATAGATTTAATTGAGCACAATATAACGGCCTCGATTAATCAGATTCAATTCTGACTGACGCACATCGGTGCAAGAAGCTTCAATTTGAGAAGATATACATGTACTTTTTTAATCGTCAACTAGAGGAAAAAAGAAAAAAAGATTTTTACTATTAACTTTAGTTGAGTTAGATTACCCGTTGTTGTAACCTATGGTTAATCGCATCTTTCACACATACTTTAACTTTTGGTCTATCTTCTGTAGAATCAACTGTCAAAAATACAGTCTCGAATGCACCAGTTAATCCTCTTATATCTTCAAAGCGAGTAAGTTATTCTCATAGAGTATGATTTTTGTCGGATTTTGTATTTTTAGGATAATCGAGCAGGCATAGAAGAACTTAGTGAAGACGATGAAACTCCACTGAATGGTGGCAGAAAAAGACGACCACGAAAACGATCGTGAGTATAATTGCTCATGGTGTATAGAATATTTTGTTTCATTGAAACAAGAGTAGATGGGGATTCTATTTGGTTTGTCTGGGTATATGCTGCTTGATTCTCCTCCTTCTCGCATTTTTAATCCTTTTCGTCCTCTGGAAAATATGGCCACTTCAACAGAAGTCGATGATCACAGTCGAAAAAATAGAAGGTAAATCATTATCTCCTAATAGCTAGCATTTCCATCTCTTATATGTATAGATATGCACGAGATTGCGTTCAAAGCCATATTCAGTACAAGTCACACTCTGGAAAGAAACAATTCATCGAGTAGTATAAAAAATGTCGAAGATTTCGCTCAGCAAGTAAATCCTCAAGATATCAGTTTTTTTATATCACTTTTCAATTTTTTCTTGTAGCTAAACATGAAACGAGCTGCATATAAGATTCGCATTATCAATGGTTTCTTTCTCAGTAATTCGAAATCTCGACGATACCGCAAGTTTGTATTTGCAGCTACTATCTTTCTCATCTTTATTTTGACATTCATAAAGGACAATATGCGAAAAACCATTGTTTGGAAATATTCTTCAACTGTATCTAGTTGCTTCACTCTCCAGTAAATGCACCTATCAAAATAATACTTGCATGTTGCAATTACGAGAACAGCTAAAGAACGATTTACGACAGATTTCCAATATTCCTTTTACTATTCAATTTTTCGATAATCGGTTTGCGAATGTTAATCTTAAGTTGTGCAGCCTCGAAGAAATGACAGGTAAGAAAGACACCGTATAGACGAAGATGTATTTCACTAGGAAGCTTCGTATTTACATTTTTTGGTAGTTCATAGTTCTCTATTGACTTGTGACAGCTCTTAGTCTTCATCAGAAAAATTAACTAGTGAATCATGTAAATCTCAATGCATTCTACAATTTTCCTTCAAGGAAAAGAATGCACATTTTCTTTATCCAGAAATAATAAAGTTCATAAGATGACAGCAACTTGACTTCAAAAAACTTGTTCTATCCTCATTTCTTGTCCTCTATAATTTTTCCTGAGCAAGATTTCGAGCACTTTTCTGAAACAAAAAGTGTAGAATATATCAAAATCTGCAGAATTTACTAATTTGTTTATTCTATGGGGGCAAATAACCGCTAAGTATATCGAAAACTACTGAATTCCACCAAAGTAAGTACAGCATCTCTGACTTCAGCGTCTTTTTTTCTATATTTAGATACAGAAGAAACAGAAGAGACAACACTGACAACAACGATCATCTCCAACAACAGTAAGCGACGATAATCTAAGTGCTGAGTTTTTCAACATCGTTCCGCTCATAGTCGAACGAAACCGTGAAGGTCTTGCACTTTTATTAAAGTTCTGAAACGTTTATGCAATCTCTTCATTAGAACCTGTCTACAATACAGAGATTGTTAATCTAAATATTTAGTATATCCTAGTCATTTTCTAGCATGAAAAAGATCATGAAGCAAAATTTGATATGTAGTATGCTGTTTTTTATTACCTTGATATCGTTTATAAGCCTGCGAAGACAACAATACTACGGAAATTAAAGTGTATCGTAGAATTTTTGATTGGAACTTTTTTATATTCCTTGTAATCTTCAAGATACTCGATCTTTGCAATTTTTCTAAACTCAATGAAGATTCCAGTAAAATTTGTAGATTCTCAGCGAAGTCGTGTTCAGACTGAGACTGACACGTTAAGATTTCACTATATGCTATTCGGCAAATACTTTGAATTCTTCCGTAGAGAGTGGTTCAAATTTCATCATCGTCCCGTATAATCACCTATTTGAGTTTAACCTTTGAGTAAAATGCAAATTTGACGATAGTCTGTCTTGTGAAATCACGAGGGCATTATTTTCTCTTGCTTTGTTACCACTATTACAGTACCATGATATTTTTCAATCCTGCATATGAATGAATCGCTATGCTAGAGTACCGTTGGCATCTTGCAGATAGCTATTAAGTTTCTCTTGCCTATGCAACTGTGTTAGAAATGTTAAAAAAAAAAGAAATTCGTTTCTGTATTTCGTTCCGTATACCATATCAAAAATGATAAATTTATTTCGATGTGATTCAAATATATCGAAAATGTCTGCTCCAAAAAGTCGATTTTCAACGTTGTTTTTCGTGAATAAATGTGTGTTTACTAATACCTTCATTTTGAATCTAGATTTACTCCTCCAGTTAATTCAAAGAAAAAAAATACAGGCTATCAGACTATATGACTATTTAGCACATGCGTCATATTTTATTTAGACGTTTTCAGTAAAGGTCACATATACTATCATCTCTAGGTTAGGCGTCACATAAAATTCAAAACAAAGATCCAGAAGACTATTCTTGAATGAAACGCGAGTCGCAGTGAACGAAAACTCTCAATAGATAAGCAAATGAGAATCATACCTGAACGAAAAATATTCTTAACAAAATTATGAATTACTTTTATATTAAGTGGTACTCACGATTTTTCTGGATTTATCAATAACTGTATTAGTTTTTGACTGGTTTAGGTGCACTTTGGTTCGTTTCAAGTAGACACAGCAAAATATTAGTTCCACAGATTGTAGCTTTTAAAAGTGTCTGGTCTATTAGGAAAAGAAAAGCTAGTATAAAATGTGTAGCACGTTTTTTACTTCCATCTGGTTTTGGGGATAGACTTAACTTTCGTCGAAAGTAAAAATGTCGAAAACAAAGCAAGAGTGAGAGTGATGGAAACTCTTGCTTTTATGAGCTATTGTTTGGACATATTTCATTTTCGACGTGTGTATCATTTCTATGTTTCGGCATTTTGATTTCCATGCAAAAAGTAATGAGTCACTTGGAGTGGTCTGTAGAAAACTGTTTATCCTCGTAGGAAGACTATTTCTCGCTCTTTTTCTTTGACATAAACTATAGAATAAAATTTTACTATACCTTATGTTTTATCAAGAAAATAACAAGAGATTTCAGTGAAGAAGTCTCCGCGAATGATGACGATCAGAAGTCTGAGCTTGGCAAAATCCAATGAAATCCAATAGAATTTGATGAAATTGAGTGGAATTTCATAACCTCTGTGGTTATATGAAGTTACAGCTGTGAAATTAGTTCTTGTCTCACAGATGATAAAATATATCATTTGATCGGTGAAAACTATGATTAGGCTGTCTTTAGATTTTCCATTTCACTTCACCAACGCCTTCGTAAGATCTTTATCAATCTACTTTACTTTTCAATCGTAGGATGTTATCTAGTTACATTAATATTTGTGACCTAGAAAATCTATTTATTTATTTATTCGAAGTGCTGTATGTGTAACTTTTACAAGTGTCTTAATTTAATTTTGTTTCATTACGGTCGACAAAGATCAACTGTGTTTTCGTCGTGTATAGTATCATACTGACGAAATTTAAGAACGCTGGCAGAACATGATATAAGTTGCGAGCGTCTGACAGAAGGACAAGAGTGATTCAATATTTTGTGAACTTCTGCAGAAACTTCAGATATATGATGCGTGTATTTGTTGGAATGATTTTGTATGTCTTCTAAATCTTCTATCCAGTAAATCAATAGAACTTCAGAAAACACGGTTAGAATGCGTCTTATGAGAATAACTAGAGTACTCTGTGTTATACTTTAAGTGAGATAAAAATCTAGTTGTCGCTTAAGAATCTTCACACTGGACTTAAAAGATATTAGAAGAATTCAGAAATCAAAGACCAACCTTGAAGCTAATCATATAATCAGATCTTATGAACTGGCAATGAAAATACAGAAATAAAATACATACCGCACAGTATTCACTTTGTAGGGTGTTTCTCTGACCATTATTTATATAGATGAACAATGATAGCCTCCGTAGTTTTTACAATAATCTCGAAGGTAAGAATATGTGTGGAAAATATAGATAAATGACGAGCGTGGCCTTTTAGACATGTCATAACATTGAAGTAGATTAGCTATTTGTTTTCCAGTGAGTGCACGAGCGTACTTTTCAGTTATAGTCGGAAAGCTTTCTGCTTCCCTCTTTCTTCTTACTCCTAACATGGCACATAGTTGCCTGATGATCTTTGCTTCCAGTACCGGGCATTTTAGTTGTTAGTGAAAGCTGCTTCGGATTTAATAGTTTGTATTATGAATATTTATTTTTTGCAGTAGTTGCTCTAAATGCATCTCTGGCAGCGACGAATCCACTCTGTTTACTGAGTCTGGCAAGAATAATTTTGATTTCAATGGTTGGTCAACAAGGCACTAAAATTCAGGATGAAACACCAATGAATACTGTGATTCGTGACTATCAAAATCGACAACCTAGTCACGTTACTTTACATGAAAGCAGCATCAACATGCTATGCGTTCAATTGGATTGCGATCAACAAAACGCTAATGGCTTACGTCATTCTGGCTGTAATATTACTTACAGAATAGATGTGAGGATTGATCTTAATGACGATGGAAAATTCGATGAGTCGGAGAGTCGCGCTCATCATCGGTCATCAAGCTCTGGCCGAGGACCACAAGATACATATGAACTAGAAATATGGATACCTCCATTCGATGGTAAAAATATACGAACTGGACAACATCGGATGCGTCTCACTTTAATGCCAAATGAAGATTATCAAAAAATATGTGGCAACATGGATTATATTGAGACACGAGAGTATACAGTCAATATCATTCCAAAAGCACCCTGTGAAGGTAAAACTTATTCGCTTAGTCTTTTTCAGAAAGAATGCATCATGTACATAAGAATGTTTGTGCTTCTACATATCTTTCTGTCGGTGAATTCAATCAGAGAATAGCATTAAATCATGACGATGTTATTGTGATTTTTGTTCAGAAGAAAGTTAAACACATGTAACTCATGAGACTGAGACACCCAACTCTAACATAGAAACAACAAAAAGTGAAAAATTAACCAGATTGTTGATTTTAGTTTCGTCAATTGAAGCTGATGAAAAGTAATCGAAAGTTCCTAATCTGAGATTTATGCTTGAATTCAGCTTTCCACAAAACAGCTTATGCAAACAAAAGTAGCGTGTCGCTGACTGTGATTGGTCAGAAAATAGCATTAGTTTAACACTGGACTATGCCATATTTTCTGAAAGAAACCAAAATCATGTGATATTATTGGGTGCACAATTCAAAGCTGATATCAAAATTTAGTTTTTAATACATTTTTATTATTGTCTCATACTAGCAGTAATACTTTCAAACACAGTTTAAATAAGGACAACTCATATTAAGAGATTTCGTATTTGAAATCACTTTTCACATCTTGGTTACTTTTTTGCAAGAGTGATTCTTAACAGTTACCTGTTTCTATAAACTATGAATAGATTTCTTAATTTTGAATGACTTCAAAGTAAAGAATTTAAAACTATTTTCTGAAACTAAATTTTTATTATATTCCTTCTGTTCACCAAGCACTGGTCTGTAAAATTGGACTAATCGTTGTTGAAAATCGGAGTGATACTTCAGCTTTATTTTAGTCTACAGAGTTAAGGAAACCTAGAAAATGTATCTTTATCTGAACTAGTACAGTAAAAATGATGTATCTTCTATAAGGAAGGATAAAAAATGCGAAAATCAGGAGTACTTATATTCAAACTTCTGACTCGCGATTACCTATAGTAAATGTAAACTTTCGATACCACGTTTAAAATTACAATTCATGAACCTAAAGTGAACTCAGCAAAAGAAGTACGTAAACTGTGTAGAAATAGTCGAACAATACAACTACTGAGTACACTACAGTCAAATATAGTTAAAAATAAGAGTCTTCGAGATTATTCAGTAGAAGTCACCCAAGAATACACAAATTGTTTTTGGTTGCTGAAAGCTCGCGACACATTCTTACTTTGCCACCAAAAATTAATCGAAACAATTTCATTTGATTTTCTGTGGTTTTAAAAATAGAAAAACATCGCCCATAAACTCAACATTTTTCGAGAACATTTTAAAAATGACAGAAGAGTATTCCTTGTTGAGGTTTGGGTAGCATTTCACATGGTCTTTCCCGTAAAAAAATCATCAGTAACGCTGATGAACGTCTTGAAAAAAATTTTAAGGTCTTGAAGTGAAGTAGGTTCCCAAAGAAAATACTAAGCTGAATTTAGGAATATTTCTGAAATGATTGAAGAGCCAAGACTATCTCTCTCAGAAAGCACTAATAATCAAGTCAGAGATGATTATGCAATGGAAAAAAGTTTTATGAGAAATTCTATTTGATTTATTACGATTTAAGCTTAAGTATAATATTTTATTGCTGAAAAAGGCTCTTGTTATTTCAATTTATGAAACTGAAACTTCTAAAGATAGCTTTCACCTGAGTGAAATTTTTCATGAAAAGCTATGCCAAAATTTATGATTATAGAAAAATCTTCTGTTAGAAAACAGAGATCGTAGGTATACTTTCTAGACGTTCTGTAAGAATGAAACTTCTTAAGATGCTTCAAAAATGTCTTTTGATTCAGTTTTGACTCTCTTAGAATCAAAAATTTCTGCAGTTTCAGCTTCACTACTAGATATTATTATGGGATTTTCTTAAAAAAACGTATGTGTGCCTAAATCGCTGTAGTATTAAATACTGCAAAAAAATTTTTATTTCATTTGCTATCTGACACTGATTTTTTTGAATTTTCGTTTTTTCTAGCAGCTGCCTTAGCTCAACCTATCGATATAATAAAGTTTATCTGTTCATCCAATCCTGGAAGAATCAAGCTTGTTCTCATCTGCGGTGAGGAAGGCACATTTATTCAAGATGAAACATCAACGAATGCTGCGATCAGTAATTATGAAAACCGACATCAAGTTCCTATTACATTCTTTGCTGATACCATCTATCTTCTACGTATTCATTTGGATTGTCCTCGGCTATTAGGAGGCGATTCACATGAGACTGATTGCAATCTTGCTCATCACGTGGACGTATGGATTGACTTCAATGATGATGGGAAATTTGATGAATGTGAGAATCAAATTCATTGTCAGTCACCTATCGATAGTGAAACGTCAACAGATGGCTATGATTTAGAAATTTTGATCCCTCCAATTGATAACATAAATATAAAGGCTGGATTCCATCGCATGCGCCTTAGTTTAATTCGAAGCGATGCTTACCGACGACAATGTGGCAGCACTGAGTATAGAGACACACGAGAGTATACAGTCAATATAATTCCAAGAAAGATATTTTCAGGTAAAATTTTTGTAATCAATTGAAAAAAGTAGCTTGAGCCATAATAGAATATTTGAAAGTATTGTTAGTCTAGAAAAAATTTGCATTTGCGAATATCTTTCAAGAAAGCTTAGTAATAGAAAAGTAAAGATGTTTTCTTTAATAAAACAATTTTTGGAAAAAAAACAAAGAAACTCGTCGAGACATTTTGTGTTCGAAGATGATCTATTGAAAAGAAAACAAGTACATTTTCGACAGTAGTAAATGAAAAATTTCCTGAATTGTTTAGAGTCAGGTATTTGAAAATCTAGGTTCATTTAATCTGATCCGAAGCTGGTCTGACTAGCAATTAGTAATGAATCAATGACTCATTCACAAGTGGTCATTGGCTATCAATAAGTAATTATCACTAGATATTAATCGTTTTGATCAATTAGACTAGCCTCATTTCAACTGAAATAAACTTATACTCTTACGCTAACATTATGAAAGTTTGATATTTGTAATATATTATTTTAGATTCAACTTTGAAAAATTCAGTGCTTTCTCTCTTTTTGATATTTCATTGATCTTTTATAAATGTATATGACGAAAAAATCTTTCTTTCCGGAACATTCTTATTTAGCATAACTCAGAAATTACAATATCCAAGTCTTTCATAGATGGACTCATAAAATGAAAACTATGCACAGATGTGCGTTTTATTTCATATGATTCCGGTATTATTATTTTGCTGTATGTGTAAAGCAATTATATTTCAAGGAAAAAAAGCGTACAACTTCGTTTTTATTTGATTAATAGAAATTTCAATTTTGGAAAGTGAAATTTTGCATTCAGCAAGGCGTGGACAAATTCAAGTTCTTTTTTTTTAATTCTTGTTTTTCGAGGAGTAGCCTGGTCAAAATAGTATTATCTTTGATCGATTAATGGTTCATCAACACAATATATTTTAAATCGTCATTTCTTTTTGAAATTTTTCGAGTATTGCTGCGTCTTATCAATTCAGAATGTGTACAAAAAACAAACACTGTAACTGCGAAATCCTCTTCGTAAGATTGATAATAGGAAATGATTTGTTTAAAGGTTTAATATTTGCAAGCGCCAGAGACAGATTGTCACTCTTCAGCGATAAGCTTTTTCTTTTAGAAGTCCAATTTGATTTTACTCCAAATGACATAGATAAACTTGATGAAGTGTTGGTCTCATTAAAAAAAGACTATTTTACTAATGAATCAGAGTGGAATATTTGCATTTGAAACACTTCTGTCTATCTCATTACGCCTTTTTAGTTTACATTGAACAATATTCATATTGACTTACTTTCAATAGTTGCTTTTGTCTCTTAGATCTCATAAGACCCGAGCACTGTTCGTCGGGAAATCTAAATTGCACACCAGGTAGTGTCGCAATTTTTTCGGTGAAGTTATCAGGCGAACGAGACTCAAGGATTCATGATGAAATGAAGAGATGCCATTTGACAAATAATTATCAAGATCGAAGTGATCTCGTCGTAGAGTTGTTTGATCGCACGTTCTATACTCTTGAAGTACATTTGCATTGTGTTCAACCATGGACTCACAAAAATTCACAAGGACAAAACCCATCTTTGGCTGAAACAAATTGTAACGTAGCTAACCATCTTCATGTATGGATTGATCTTAATAATGATGGTATATTCGATGATATTAGAGAACGATTTCTTTACAACTATCAGCCCAGTGGCAGTTACATCAAGCGAGATTATGCTTTGAATATTGCTATTCCTGAGATAGATGGAAAGTATAACGTTAATGGATCCCATATAATGCGTGTTGTCGTGACAAGAGATAGCAACAGCCCTAAACCCTGCGACAACGTTGGCTATGGTGAAGCGAGAGATTATACAGTACACATCTTATCAAAACCTTACTATTAAACTGTAAATTAGACACTTATGGATATCATATGATCTAATAATTTAGAATTGCTTTTTTTTTAGTTTAATTGAGCCTAAATAAATAATATAATCCAACAGTCTTACTCAATTTGAATTTATGCACTGTAATAGCAGTTACAAAGATGTGAATGTGGATGTTTGTACAGATAAGAACCATATCCAAACCTTAGGTGTCGATGGTTCAAGAATGAGACATCTATCGAACTGAACCCTTTTCATTTTGATCAAATTTTTATCTACTTGGAAACGAGGATGTGAATATGGAATCTGAATGTGGTTCAAAAAATCTACACTCACACCCGGTTTGTTTTTTATATATAGCTGAGAATGCGAGTGAGTGTGAGTGTTGATGTGAGATTGATGATCAAAAGTACAATTACGCCTATGCCCATATGATGCAGATTTTGTGTGATGATTTTTTGCCTCTGACGAAAATTGTGTTAAACGAATTAACATCTCCAATGAATGATGAACTATTTCGATATGTTTCTTTTACGAATTTTGTCTATTCATCAATAAGAAATCGAGCTGATATGCTGATTTCAAAGAAACTTGATGTTGCATGTAGTCATTCATTCTTGTGATTTATTTTAAATGAGTCTTCGCGCATGAGAGTATTCTTTTTAATTCTACTTTGGAGCAAAAAAAATCAGTAAAATTATATTCTTTGTCTCTATCGTTTATTGTTTTTGTTAATTTTTTGACGTTCAATATTTCTCATCTCTATCGAATATGAATTAGCGCATCTTTTGCTAATTTTGTCAATGGTTCTTCCAGTGTATGACCACGACGTTTTCTATGAAGTCCATGAACACAATGGTACACAGGTAATTCATCAATGTAATACGGTATGATATATTCAAATTGTAATGTGAAATACCGAATACAATAACTTTTTAAAATATTTTGTATATCTTTACCATATTTATGTATACATGTGCTTAACATGACGTCTTCATCACACACAAGATGCATTGTTGCATAAATTTCTTTAGCTGTTGCTCTAGAATAGAAAAAATTTTTTTCTATAATTTTTTTTGTTTCTTTTTAAAAGGATAATTATTTTTCATACCTCCAAATATGCAAACTATGTATACTTTTAATTGCTGGAGTAGCTGCAACAATTTCATTCATTAATTGTTTTGTATCAATACCACCTGGAACATTTTCAATTAATATTTCACTTATTGAAAATATAACAGGAAGTGCACGAACAACAATAATAACAACCATAATAAGTGTTAATAATGGATCAATATATTTTAACCAAGTATTGATTTCTTTTCCTGTAATTGGATCTATATGTGGAATAAATTTAATCAGCAAACCTGATACGACAACAATGATGGATTCTAACACAACTACCTAAATGATAAAGTAAATCGAATAAAAACAAAATTTCATTTTTTCTTAACGAAAAAAAAAAAACTTGCGAACGAATGTAAACATATAGCATGAAAAGTAGCATATATTTTTGATTGCGAAATTTCAACATTTTCATAAGTGAATGCATCGAGATTAGACGTACACTGCTGAACATATTCTGGTGTTATTTCAATATTACTAGTTATGTCTGATTGATCGATAGCTTCAGCTCTGGACTCATTAGTCATTAATTGAATTTCAACAGCTGTGTTGTCATGTGTTTTGATAGATGATGTACGCATTGGTTTCATACGTTGTTTTGTCCATGCTAAAATATCTCGTTTTTTCTTCTCATATATTTCTTCTTCTATATCATGATTATGATGATAACCCCAAAACATAGCCATACCAAGTATACCAACAAACATGCCACCTATACCAATAACAATCATTAATTTTGGATCATGCACATGCATAGGATTAAGTAAATGATTGACAGCATCAACTATAACACCCAATGACACTGATAGAAGAAATACTTCTTGTATGAGACCAAATAATAATTCTAATCGTTCATAACCAAATGTATTGTTTTTTGGACGATGTCCTACCTTATGTGAATAATGAAGAATTAATATAACACCAATTAAACAAAGACCTTCAGCAAATGAATATAATCCATCCGCTATTAATGAATTTGAATACGCACGAATACCGTAAACTATTTCAACAGTAGCCGTTACAATCGTAAGAATAAACATAATAATTACACGAAAGATTTTCGAGCTAATTTTATGTATGAATGATTCACAACAGTCGGTTACTTGCAAAGAAATCAAAGAAATCATACATAGTAGTCTCGTAAGTCTCGCTACCAGATAAAAAGTATCTTAACATGAATCCTTTGTTTTCATAGTTTTAATCATAAAAAAAGCACGATAAACCCTGATTGCAAGCAACAACCAAGACTTATTCAACCCCATACGAAAGAGCTTGAAGTTTAACATATATGTTTTATTCAGACGAGAATATTTCAGTATTGGTAACAAGCTTGACAATGTTCAATCTCTCATTAGGTAGCTGTATCTATCACCCATAAAATTTTCTTGTTAAATGATCTTAGTTAATCTAATTGATGAGATTACATTCGCGTATTCTTAGCATGAGAGTTTATGGCATTCGTCAGAAGTAACTTATAATTCTGACTATTTTCAACCGTTTACCTTGAAATTTTATTCAGTGGGTTCTCTGCTTTAGAAAAATATTTCCTGAAAAGTTCATGTTTATTTAAAAAAGTTTATGTTTATAAAAGTTCATGTTTTTCATAATTGATATACAATCACAGCTCGTATAGCCGCAACGATTGTGACCCAGAGAAGTCGTTGGTTAAGGCATCAGACATCCATATGACAGTCTCCAGCTAACGTCTGTTGCAGTGTATGTGCAGGGTGAGGGAGGGTCACATTTTTATCCAATACGTTTCAATACTCATTTTAGATCATATTTTACAAACACAGTGTTGCTATTATAGTCGATGTGTTGATGCCGATCGATCTCAAGTTAGTACTAGCGATCAGAATTTACCGAGCTCTATTGATACTAAAATATTAGGTGAAAATTCCATATTTAGATACTTTTTATCTACTGGCAAGATTTTTGGCGCCTACTATAGAATTTATAACACAATAAAATTCTACATTGTTTTGTTTCAACTTACTGCTAGACATGTTGTTTTATGTTGTATAATTTGATCGACTGCACAGAGACGCAAATAATCTATCCTTTACATGACAAGATGAATTTAAAACATAGGTAAGTATTGTTGTTCGATTTATAGCTGTTGATGCGCACATTTATGATCAATAAAATTGAGATAAGAAGTAAGTATCACTTTGAATAATTTCAGTGAGTGTTAGGAATGAAATAAAATTTTATTATTGGCAATTTTTATGTTGTACAGTAAGAGAAAAACAAATAATAATTTTTAAAGCAGAAAAAAGTTTTATTTATCGGTGATTGTTTGATTATGTATGAGCGTATTGCTGCATGGAGACATGAAATGAACAATTTATTCAATGTATGACTAGGATATTCTTACAACAAGAGTATCGATGATTAAGTCTTCTTTGTTTGGGCCCCATGCAATCAAGACCATCTAAGCATCGGCGATTTTATCATGGTTTATTAACCATCCAAACTGACGACTTCGCCACTGTTTTCTCGATTTTTCAAATATACGGTGATCCATAAATAGTATTATGATTAAAAAAAATAGCAGACCTTCGCATTGGTTTATTTAAATAGGCCGAGCTTTTGGTTAGTGTTTAAGATTCATTCAAAAGGTTTTTCATTCGAATCTTGTAAATACTACTATACAGTATGGTTGTTGATATCATGAAAGGAAGGGGGTGTTGCAGTAAGATCATTTCTTCGCCAACCAGTATTTTCACTTGTATCTGAGAGGTGTCGACAGATCACTACAAGTGTTGCTTAGAACTTAGTTTTGAAAAATTTCAAATTGAGATCTCCTCTCAGGATTTCAAAATTTTTTTCCTCAAATATCCTCGGAAGCATACCATTGATATTTGATTTTGTGCGCTGATTACAAATATCATATTTACATTTAGATTAGATTGAGTTTTTATATATAAAAGAAGCATTTTACACCCAAACAATCTAGAATGAGTGCGGGTGTCGGCATCCTCAAGAGATCAACATCCTGCATCCACACCCATATCCTCAAGAATATTTGATTTTTCTTTTAATGTCTACTATTATTTTTTAGTTGTGAGTTTTATTTTGTTTTTTTTCCTGAAGTATATAATTTTCATCCCTCCATTTTCATATCGTAATAGAAAGATAGTCTTTTAAATTTTCAGGAAAGCTTAGTCTTCTCGAGGACAATACATAACTGAGCTTTGCGCAATTACTTCATATTGCATTTATTGTAAAATTACGTGTCAATTTTTTCATTAGTTGTCTAATATAATCTTTGTGATGTGAACTTGAGTCAGATGAGGATATTTAATGGTTGGTAAATCTTGTTTGCCATTTTTTTATGATTCTAAAACGTTTATTACTTTGTTATTTCAGATGAATTACAGTTAGTTTTTCAAGAATGAAAATGATTGAGAAATTTGAAGAGGGTGGGTGTGGATAGGATGTTCAGATATGGCTGTAAGTTAATGGAAGGCTAATACCTACATCAGCATACTAGCCCACTCTCATACGCAAACCTAGTTTTCTTCGGTCCTTGTTTCTTGGTCTATTTACCTTGTCGTTTTTGTGAGTATATCTTGATATACATTTTTTTCTCCCTTTCTCTTTCTGCATACCCTGTCGTTTCGTTCGTACAGTTGCATCTACTTTTTTCTTCGAGTCTGAGTTTGTATATCTTGTCATTTTTGTGCATATATCACTACATGCCTTCTTTTTTCTCTCTCTCTCTCTGCGTACGCTGTCGTTTTATTCGTACAGCTGCATCTACTTTTTTCTGGCAATCTGCATCTGTGGGTGTGGGTGGGTGGGTGTTGGGTGTTGGTGGGAGTGGGTGTGGATGTGGTATAGATGGGTGTTGGTGTGGGTGTGGATTTGGATATATTTTATACCCAAACCCACACCTTACACTCACATCCACACCCACACCCACACCTACACCCCCACACCCATACCCACACACCCATACTCACACCTCATCCACATCCACACCCACCCACACCCAGGGTGTGTGGTTGTGTGTGTAGTAAAGAGCAAAACCCATACCCACACCCGTCACATCCCCACCTTAGACTCACACCCATGCACTCTTCTAATCGACTCTTACTTTATCGAATAAAAAGCACAAGTCTCCTTGTGTTTTTAAGTAGCACTCATGTTTATTTTTCTTTTAAAAGATATGGAAAACATCTCATTTTTATTCATATGTGAAAGAAAAAAATTACTGGAATCCTATTTTAATGCAGTCAATATGTATTGAAGCGGTGAGAATCACTTTACTTTTGCTTGCATAAATAAAAGATGTGAAAAATCAATTAGTTTTTATTATCGTTTGCAGATGGAGACATTTCATAGTTGCCTATTTTCTGTTTGCTTTCGTCGTAATAGCCAATGTGATCTGATTTTGTGCCTAATAGAACCTCGCGACAGCAAGTCAGTTCATTGATGGCCATTGTGAGTCGATCAATGATTTGATCTCGTGTTGGCCATGGATGACCACCGATGGCAAGATCGAGCATTTGAGCATTGGCACGCCACGTCTTATGCATTGCATATTCTAAATCAGCTGTAACTTCTTTCCGAAAAGTATCGTAACGTGTACATTCAATCGTAAACGGATTCGTTGACATGTATGAGTTGACAACAGTAATACGAGGTTCCGTACAGGATTGAATGTTTGTTACTCGATGTGCTAATTGACTGCCTAAAATCAGATGACAAAATACATTCATGGTGTTTGTGAATAAGCTTTCTCTTTCTCAAGATATACCTTGCATGAACACACACGAATTGGAGCCAAGATAGTCGATTGGCCGAATGATATCTTTTGGCACTTTGCCCTTGTACTCTTCAATAAGACGAAATGCTTCTTTGGGCTCGCGTTCAATGAGCTGCAGTTCACCGCCAACCGTTTGACTCATATCACATGCAAGCAAAATTACAACGTAGGGCACACTATCGCAATGCCATGAATCGACATTCCTTTCGGTTGGATAGCCGATATTGATATGGCTATAGCTGTTTTGAAATGCAGTTGGCACGAGATTAACATCTCCTGTCATGCGCGACAAATGTTCAAGTACACGTGGGCATCGATTGAAATCTTGAAGCCATTTACTGCGATAGCCAGCATTACGAATAAAAGCTGGCCAACGATCGTTGCTTTGCTGATGCACAAGTTCACGTTGAAGAATTTTACGCAAAACTTGATAACCTTCATCACTCAGTAGTCGAAATGGACCTGTATAGGCTATTTGACTTTCGCCATTCGATGCCACTGGCTTATCGAGTTTAGGAGCTTTGGGTACATGCCGGTAACCATCAAGTAGTACGACAAATTCAGGTTCAGTCGGTGACAAATGAATATCAGGATTGTATGGAGGTTCATCAGGTGCAATTTCAAAGTCGGGATGAGTCAGGAGAGGGGGTAATGACGTGTTAATGTTGTCAAGAGCCATAGCGTTGATAAGTTTCTGCAAATAATACTACCTAGTCAATTACAAACTGTCGAAAATGCGTATAAATACACAACCAAAGAAAAAAAAAGTGGGGGGATTGGCGCAATGGTAATATGTTAGTTTCTCGAGAATAAGCATCGTGTTCAAGCCTTCACTCTCATAGCACAATGTTGATATAACTCTGTTCTGTTCTACACGTCGCAAGCTACTCGTTCGTCGATGGTCTATGCATTTCACTCACATACCAAAATGGTTCGACTCGGCAAGCCATCACTCATAAATCATGTTATCTATGCCCACAGTTTTATGTTTCAGTTTTTGTGCTGTGCTTTAATTGCTTTTCATTCTTTATAAGCATGTTGTTTTCAAAATCATTTTTCTCTTTAGTCTCTATCATGGGTGCAGGGTTAAATAAATATCGCATGAAAGTAAAGAAAAAAAACTGTTTGTTTTTTACTTACAACTACGACTTACCAGAATGAGAGAAAAACGATTACTCTTTTTCTTTTTCGTGCGCTTACACGCAGTTTCGGTCCATGTGACTAGTTCAATGTTACTTTCGCATGATATCGTCACCTTTTATTCTT